ATTATAATTATGGTTTATTTTATGAATTATATATATTATAATACATAATATAATTATACATTTTTTATATATATATACGTGTAATTGTGTAATTTTATTCATATAACGAYTTTWRGGGGCCATAAAATAATATTGCACATGGGCTAGAATTTTATAGTTACGCCACTGATCTTACTATCTCCATCCTAGACAATTTCATGTTTAAACTTAATAATTTCATTTTCAATAATGCTGATGAATTCAGTTTTAGGTTTTCTTTCTCTATTTTCACTTGTCATTTCTAGTAATCAAACTACTTACTAAACATGCATATTTAATATGTAATATTTTGATGTAATTGACAATTAACTTACTTTTTAAATTAAAACTGCAAAAAGGAAAAATAATAAAAATTTTATAAAAATACTGTTGTCAGTATGCACAATATTTCATTGTAAGCTAGGCTATACTAAACCAAAAATAAATAGTTTTTATGAAAATCATGATGTGCGGTGGAAATTACAAATATTTAATACTATACGTCTATACAGTTATATATATATATATATATACAAAATATACAACTGGTTTAAAAATAAACATCAGTTAATATTATGTTCTATTTATGATATCGGTATATGATGATAATAAACTGTATTTCAATAAAAAACGCTATTCTTAATAATCTATAAATACCAAAGACATGATAAAATTATCATTGATTAAGGAGTGCATAATAAAGGTTGAGGAATGTTTCAAAACTAATAATTGCATAAAATTATTATTACTATTAAGTAGGAATAAGGAACCTATCAAAAATCACCAATTTCCTCGGAGAACAAATAACTATTGGGAATTTTACGACGACCTAGAACACAGTATCACTCAACCAAAACCAATACAAAATGTATTAAAATAATATACACTTTAAAAATATCAATAATAGAATTTTTATACTTATAAATAGACCATATTATTCAAAAGCAACAAAAACAAATAATAAACATTTATTTTCTAAAAGTGTAAAATATATTTAATAACATTAATTACCATTATACACATTTTGTAATCTAAATGTGAATATTGGTTATTGCAGTGAATAAATATTTTACCTACAGCAATACCTACTTACTTTACCGCAGCACGGACATGGTAAAATCGCGTTTTCTCCGGTTCGGAGAGGTGTASAGAATTTAATTTTGGTTGTACAAAATTTTACAAAATAAAGTACATAATACTGAATAAGTTTAAATTTAAATTTCAAACATGGCAGTGCTGGGGTAACAGAGCTCACAATTGAAACTCGAGGAGGTCGTCGCTCGGAGAATTGCGCCAAAAAATGTGTTGAAATGTCCGGTCTTCTGGTCGAATTAAAATTTGTCGATACATTTTAACAATGTCGGCGGACAGAATGTACCGATGCATACGGCAGCGAAGTAAAATATCGCGCAGATCGACTTGTAATTTCGGTCCGGTACATAATACATCGTTCAAGGAACGACCGGACGACGAAACGGAAGAGGCGTCGAATACGACGCGAATTTTGGACACGTCGCCGTAGGCCTTGAGTACGTGATGCGGAATGAAATATGTGCCCGGTGACGGAGCTGGCACCATATATCCTAACGATTGATAGGTGGACATTAATTTACGATAGGCAGCATACAACTCGGAATCTTTAATCAACCGTTTTTCTAAATTGTAAAAACGTTTCAATGCGATGGAACGCGAATCTCCGAGCTCGTGACGGGGTGTGTCTTACTGTTGAGCTGCATTCGCGAACAAATGACGAAATAGCAATGCGACACAAAATCGACCGGTTGAATCACGCGAGGTAGATTTTGTAAAATATTCTTCACACCATTGATCTTCCGTGGTGGGCGACGTAGGTGCGGTGGGTTCTCGACCAACCAAAATATTTGTAATAAATCGCTGATTGACGGTGGAACTACGGCGGTACTCAAAGCAGTTAGGGACGACGTGTTCGGTGTTGCAAATGAGCTGAAAATTATCCAGCCGAGTTGAGTGTCCAAGGCCGACGGAAGGCCAGAATGATGTTCAACGCCGGCATGCGGACGGACAAGCTTGGTAAGATATCAGCGCCAAATAATGCGTCGATGCGCCACGGAATGTCAAAAGTGTTGTCAGCGAGAAAGAGATGCTGATACTTCAAACGCACGCTTGATGGTAAACGAGTTGAAGGCATGSYGGCAGTGATTTGCCTAAAGAATACTAGATCAACTGGCGGGAATAATCAGACTGGAAGCGCGATGAAAATTGACAACTGGTTACGCCTTGCGCCTGGTTCACTGGACTTTGAGCAAGACCCACAATATTGGATTTAAACTGACGTTTGGGTAACCCTAGCCGAGCGAAACAGTCGGTTGTCATGGCCGAAATTTGGGAACCACTTTCGAGTAACACTCGAACAAAATGGACTTGGCCCCAGGCGTCCCTGATGTGAATTATGGCCGAGCCTAATACGACTGTAGAATTGGTGCCGCTGCACCTGAAAATGAACTTGGTTTGTCGGCGGAGGGACCTTAATTAGAACCGGAGCTGGTGCTCTGAACAGCGTGGCCGGCGGCCGATGATTGATCGTTGTTATAATGTATCAGAGAGTGATGACGATTACTACTACAGGAACGGCACCCTCCTTTCGACGGACAGRCGTCGAGCATGTAAGACGGACTCATGCACGAAAAACATAATTTACGCGACAATACGAACTCTCGGCGTTTTTCGACGGYMATTTCGCTGAACTTCRGACATTGATAGATAGCGTGGTTAGTTTTATTGCATGACAGGCAAACTCTCGATTTCGACTTGGTTGATGTAGACGTGGTAGCGGTAAAAACTGATTTTTTGGTACAATTGCTTTGAGAAACGGTGCCTTAAGCCAGGTCCACACTAGAGCAACAAATATTTCCTGAATGTTGACAAGTGTTTCTAATTGTTTTTGTTTTCTTGGAACAAACTAGAACATTTATAAACACACTGTCCACATCATAGCAACAAAGTTCCTATAAAAACTTAATAGAAACAATTCAAAATCTGTTGCTCTGTGTTTCTTGCGACAATGTGTCYACACACATGGAACATTTTAGTATAGTCAGTACTAGAATTATTAAATAATTTTTAAGGTAGAAAATTTCATTAACTTATTTATGTTACAACCATTTAAGCTATTTAAATTTATATTAATTATTATCTTTAATCATCAATCATAAAGTTAATCATCATTTTGTACCTGTGTTAATTATGTGGGACGATAATGACATTTTAGCAGTTGCTGCTGCATATGTGATAATTAGTGGAAAAGTAAAAATTAAAAAACGCAAATGCTGGGTTCGACCAACCTTACAAAGCAGAAATGAATATGGAGGATCACAACTTATGGCAAGTTTAATTAAGGATGATCAATTTACTACTGGTTGTCATTTTTTCAACTTCATTAGAATGTCAGTCGAAAATTTTGAAGAGCTACATTCTAGAATTGAACCAATGATAAAAAAGAGAGACRCCAGCTTCAGATATGCTATACCTTYAAGAGAACGTTTATTAGTAACATTAAGATTTTTGGCTACAGGTGATTCTTATCAATCTCTTATGTTACTTTTCAAAATTTCCAAGCAAGCCATTTCCTTGATAATACCTGAAGTGTGTAATGCAATCAATGAAACACTCAAAAACCTTGTAAAAGTAAGTATATTAGAACACAAAATAAATCATAATGCTTTCACTTTAGTATACTTTACTATGATATACTATACTATAGGTACTATAACATTAATATTAGGTATTTAAGAACCATAACAATAACAATATTAATTCTTTAACTTAATTATATATTAATAGTATTAGAAATTTTCAACTCAAAAATTGTTACTGA